AAAAAGAAGAAATACTGGTTTGTGTATTCTCTAGTGACCAGTAATAATTGGTAGTTAGTTTTTTCTAGTAACTAGTAGTTCTATTTAATTATTATTATATATATAAACTACGTGTCACGTCTTTTGTTCGCAATGTACTCCTAAACTACTGAACCGATTTTAATCAAATTTTGCATAATGTGTGCAATTTCATCCAACTTGAAAGATAGGATAGTTTATATCATTCTAACAGATGGCGGTATAAGGTAATTCGTTAACTTAAAGACGTGTGTATCGGAGACTGATTGTGAGCTACAGCAACACGTTTTTGTTTTTGTTATAATATATTATATTACATTATATTACATTTGTTTGAAATAAATTAATATCATTTGATTTTAATATTACTGTTAAGTGCCAAAAAAAAAAAAAAAAGGAATCAACATTTTTCCCCTAAACCTGTTTCAATCATATTTTATATTTACGGAATTAAATCAGAATCACCATAAGGTCAAAACATTAGAAACTTTCTAAATAATCTTGGCAAATGTTGAATATTTACAATTCCTGAAATGTACTTTTATAGTCTTTAACTATTTTATAAAATAACTTTGAAAAATTTATTCATTTTAAAACTGATTATACTAAAATAATATTTAAACAAGCCAAACAGTTTACTGACTTTAAGTGTACTTACGTAACAGTTAACCATTGATATAAATAATATTTGATTTTTACCATTTTTAATATTTATACAGAACTGTTTTATGATGAGACAATATTTCATAAATAAAATACTTCTATTTAATAAATATCGTCATATTTAATTTCGTTCTTTTCATTATTATTATCCAATAAATTTTTTGTATTTACATTATTACCGCCAATTTTGTTTTCTTTCACTTGTTTCTAACCTCATATTCAGTTTAACGTACCCACGTGAGATAAAATGGCTACTACCGTTCTGTAATTCGTACAAAAAGGCGGGGAAAAGAAAAAATAACTTATAAAATCTACAATATTAATTTATAAATAAAAGAAAATATTTCCTTATAACTATCCAATTGACGTAAATCTTATTTTATAATAAAAAAAATATGGTAATTTTTTTATCAAATATATATACACATATTATCGATTACATTGATTTTAATCATTAAAATAAATAAAAACTTGTCTTTCAAGTAATAATTTCTTATAAATTATATAACTAATCTTAAAAGAATGAAAAGAGAAAAAAAATTCAGATGACATCTATTTAAGTTTTGCCATGATTGACGTATCCGATAATTAGAATACTCTGATAATAGTCAGATACTGATCATTGTCAGCATCAAATAGTTAGCAATTAAATGCACAATTTTGCATGAAACGTTTATGAAATTAATTACTAATACGACAGAATAAAAAAATCTATCGAATGAGCAAAACAAAACGAGAATTATATCATTGTAAATATCATTGTCAATCAATTCAATCTTAATTTAACCTCAACGTGTAATTAATCGAAATGTAAGCAAAAACGTGTCCACGTTATTATCTGAAATTACTGCGCTCGCATATAACATCAGCGGAAAAAGGGCTTTGATAATTTTGGCGAAAATGATCTGGACGAAATGATTGAGAACGAAACTGTCAATGATAGTGACATTTCTAAAAAATTGGAAACGCATGTTCTTAAAATGATACTAATTCCGAAAGAAGCTTGAAATTCCAAAATGAGCTGAGATCATGCGTGTCTCTTGCTATTGTGACACGTGTACAAACAAATGACCAATCGACTGACGTCACAAAAACTGATCATTGACTTTATGGTATCAAAAACAATTGAAATCATATCTTCAAACGACGAAAACGATATTGAATCAATTCGTCACAAGAACATGAGCATTTTGGATTACGTCTAGCATTGAATTATTTAATATGCATTATTGAAAATTTCACCATGTATACTATGAAAAATGAAATGTTTTGAAAATATTTCCAGCTATGTAATTGACTTATTGAATTTTTTTGAAAGGATTATCATTATACTTTCTAAATGCGACTTTTTTTTTTATGTGGTCCTTGTCTGCCGTAATAAAAAAAAAAAAAAAACATGTTTGCCTTTCGTAATAATTTAGTAATAAAAATGTGATGGACACTGAAACGATAATAAATACGCCATACTAATTACAATTCTACATAATGAATATGTAAATTTATCTAATTCTATATTGTAAAGTTTAATGCAAAAAACCTGTTTTTGGATACGAGATTAAAACACTTAAAGCAAATAACAGAGTTGAAAAAAAAAATATATATAAAAGTACTACAAAAACCTTGGCAAGTTTCTCTTTTAAAACACGTTGACCGGTTTGTTAGTTTCTAAAAAAACCTACGTCAGGCCCAAGTGCGCTGCTATACATTGGCGTTACACGACCAATAATGATACTGTGTATCTATAGTTATTTATTATATAGTAAGACAATTATGTTTAGAACGTTTAGAAAAAAAAATTCTTATTCTATGGAGAGGATAATGTTTTTTGGATGATTATTGAAACTTTTTTGTATAAACCCCCCTCAACTTTGTTTATCGTAGGCCCTCGACTTTCGCACATAATTGGGTCCTTAAAGTGTGTGCGAAAGTATGTATAGGAATATAAAAAAATATGCAGCAAAAACTGTGTTTTAAATTAACAAAACACACAACACGTAATGCAAGACTGAAACTGTTTTGTTTTTTTTATTCAAACAACATTGTCATCTGATGACCAGTCTGATGTCCCCTGAGAGGGGACATCCGAATGCAGAGGATTAAACAGTTTAGAATCTTTTAAAAATGTGCGAAATAGCGAATTGTGCGAAAGTACTTTGATTTGGGGACTGAAATTGAGGGACTTCTGTAATTTCTTTCGAAACATTTCATTGTAAATTTATTTTTTAATGACAATTCCAATTTGTTTTTTCTTTTTTTTTTTTAGAAAACTTTTATAACAATTCATTAGTCTGATATTTTGTGAAATATTTACTAATATACCTTGTGAGAACTAAAAAAAAAAAAAAAAGAAAAAGGGTCAGTAAAATATGGCTGACGGTGCCCAGATTCAGAATATTTACCGTCAGTCATATATGCCTGACATGGCAGTCAACGTGTTCAAACATTTTTGACAAATTTACGACAAATTTAAATATTTTTCTTTTATTTTTTTTTTTTTTTATCACAAATGTTTATTACCTATCAAAGTGTTTAGAATATTTAGAAAAGAAAAACAATGAAAAGTAAAAAAGAAGAAAACAAAAAACATTACTATTTTTCCTTGAAACAAGTATTTATAGATAGAAATACTGAAAACACTTTTTTTCCATTTTCCTTTTGTTCTTTCTTTCTATTTTTTTTTTTTTTTTTAGACAACAAATCTCGTGTGACATTTATAGTTATTTCAAAAAAAAAGATAAACGAAGACAAAAATAGAACAATGATGATGCAAAAACCAATGATATAATGCATTGGANATAATGCATTGGAATTTAATAAAAAATAAAAAAAAAAACCAGTCCTTGTAAAATACATATTAATAACTATGTACATACTTATATATATATATATAGTTATTTCAAAAAAAAAGATAAACGAAGACAAAAATAGAACAATGATGATGCAAAAACCAATGATATAATGCATTGGAATTTAATAAAAAATAAAAAAAAAAACCAGTCCTTGTAAAATACATATTAATAACTATGTACATACTTATATATATATATATACATATATGTAATTAATCGTATGGAAAATTATTACTAATCTCTGTAAATTATTATTACTATTCATTTTCCGTCATGTTTTCTTGTTAAACAATCTTTTTCTTGCCACGTGTCTATCAATAATAGTGCGATAAGAAAATGTAATGATAATATATGATTTAATAAAAAAAAAAAATTATATTCATATCATCGTCCCGTATTTTTACTTCCGTAAATAAGAATAGAAATAATTTCGTATGCAAATGAACTATATATATACAGTATTTATACAGCATGTATACTTATTATATGTACAGTATTTTTCTACAGTATGTATACTTATTATATGTACAGTATTTTTCTACAGTATGTATACTTATATATATATATACAGTATTTATACAGTATTTATACTTATATATATATATACAGTATTTCTACAATATGTATACTTATATATATATATATATATATATATATATATATATATATACAGTATTTATACAGTATGTATACTTATATATGTATATACAGTATTTATACAGTATGTATACTTATATATGTATATACAGTA